CGGCCTTAGGTTGCGGTCACAGCTCGCCTTCATGTGCAGTTGCCAATGGCAACCGTATAAGAGTAAGAGAGAAAGAAGATTTTCTGTCTCTCTTAGACTTACACGGTTGCCATTGGCAACTGCACTTGCAGGCGAGCTATGACCGCTCCCTTAGCCGTATGAATAAAGTCGTTTGCTCAGTACAAAGTTTGTAAACAAAACAAGTTCCTAAAAAACAATAGAACAAGCACACCTGTTTTGGTCGAAAACATGAGAAAATGTAGCCCATTTTAAGTGCACCTCTTAATTGCAACGTTTTAACCAATCACAATCCTTGAAACTAAGCTACTTTTATAAACAAGTTGAGAACCTTTTTTATGCTCACTGTGCGCTCATTAGGCCTAAGCACAACTGAGTCGGATACGTACTGAAGCTTCTATGAAATGTCATCAAATGTAAAATTATCTGATATACTTAATCAAAAATATTCATATTCTTGATAGATTTTATTAAACAGTTGAATTTTAAATGTGCTTAATTTTATTAGTTTAAGGTTAATGTATGATCGTTTTGTTAAAAACAAAATAGAAAAAATATTTCTGAAAATTTTATATTTATTCTGTCATATTATATACATATATCTGCTGATATAAATTATTTACAAAGAAAATATTAAAAAATAGAGAAATATGTTACTGATAAAAAGGTTTCAAGATAAAGTTGACTTTTAATACGTTAAATAAATAATAACAATATATGTATATTTAACAACATTTAAACATGAAGAAATGAAATTATTATTTGATTTTTAACTTGTAATTTATGTAGAAACGAATTAAAATTTTAAGATTTAAACAAATAGATAAACGTAAACATTTTTGCATTCATTATTATTTAATCACTATAAATAATATTCTATCGATAATGTTAACCAGTACCTATAAAAATCTATTGATGCTTATAAATTAATTTTTATTAAACTGTTTTGTTACATTTGATGTCATTTCATTTATTAAAATACGGTAATAACAATAAAATAATTATACTGGGTTTGCAATCAAAACAAATAAGCATCATCAAAGCTTCCGTGAGATACGGATACGGAGCCCGCTACGAAGCACACTACGAGGCACGCACGAGTGGGTCGATTCAGGGTACGGTCACACGACTTTTGGAAAAACCATTCTTGTCTATCTCTCTCCTAAGACAGACGCATAAGTTTGTCTCACTCTGCATTTTCCGTCTTTGGGAAATGTAAGAAAATGCAGAGTGAGACAATCTTATGTCTCTGTCTTAGGAGAGAGAAAGACAAGAATGGTTTTTCCAAAAGTCGTGTGACCGTACCTTCAATCGTCCCTCGTAAAGCGAATGAGTGCTTAGTGGTGGCGCATAGAAGCTTCCGTAACTACGGAAGCCTGTACTGTACGGCTCACGAGCGTCTCGGACGCAAGTGGCGGTGTTTCGTACCATAAGTGGCACCAAGTCCGTCCAACTTGTGGCAAGTTCGTTAGTTCGTGCCACTTGTTTTTTGAAGGGTCATTCACAAATATGACAATTCCGTTGGATCCTGTTGCCGTCTATTTCGTCAGTGCTTTTCATTTCAAGTATAATTTCATCCGAGCAAGTCCGTTTAATGTTTTTGAATAAAAATGAATTTGTTATTTTTAAATTGAAAATACATGTAAAAGATTACATTTCAGTGTAAACAAATGATATTGACATCTTTATTAATCTTAAATATTCATAAAAATATACTTTTGATTTTAAAAAATGTTGTTATTTTTTATTTGAAAATACATGTAAAAGATTACATTTTAGTGTAAAAAAATGATATTGACATCTTTATTAATCTTAAATATTCATAAAAATATACTTTTGATTTTAAAAAATAAAATCCTCTTCATGTATTTTAAATTAAAAAATGACAACATAACCAAAAAATCTTATTTTTATTCTAAACTAAGAAAAATTAAAAAAAACTAAGAAAAAACTTCCGCTTAATTCTTAGTGGAATCCTTAGTTTATTAATATGTATATTTACGTTTGGAAGGAGTATTTATGTGTGAACTATAAAAAGTTTGTTCGATGACATTTACTAATATGCTAATATTACTAATATCTTATAAAATTCATTTCTTCTTCTTCACATGAAATTGAAATGAAAAGCACTGACGAAATAGATAGCAACAGGATCCAACGGAATTTTCATATTTGTGAATGACCCTTCAAAAAATCCACTTTCCACAAGTGGCACAAACTAACGAACTTGCCACAAGTTGGACGGACTTGGTGCCACTTGTGGTACGAAACACCGCCACTTGCGTCCGAGACGCTCGTGAGCCGTGCAGGCTTCCGTACACTACGTCTCGAACTGCAAACTACTCTCGCGGAAATCAACCATTTTCCTCCCTAGATGCATAATATACTATTTTATCAAATTTATTTTCAAAAATATGGCTAAAGAAAGATTAATTTTTAAAGGACATATTCATGAAAAAAAAATTGTTTTATCAAAAATGTCAGAAAAAAATTAAGTTGTAAAGGAATGAAAGCATTTTAAAGGTTGAAAGAATTAGTTATTTCTATAAAAAAATATTGTTAAAAAAGGAATGATTTTATCAAAAATATTGTTGAAACAATTAATTTTTTTTATCAAAAAAATTTTTTTATCCAAAAAATGGTTACAGATATTAATTTTAAACGGAAATATTTGACAAAAAATTGTATTATTTAAACAAACATATTGGTGAGAAATTAATTTATTTATCAAAAATATTGTTAGGAAAAATGAATTATGTTTTCAAAAATATGTCTGAAAAAACATTATTTTTTAAAGGAAATATTCATGAAAAAAATGGTGTTATCAAAAATAATATTTTTTTGGATATAATAATACATTTTTCACCATTATTTCCGTTTAAAATTAATTTTTTTCTCCAATATTTTTGTCACTCATATTTTTGATAAAAAATATTTAAATTTTCATCAATATTTTTGATTAAATAATACATTTTTTTTCTCTAATACACTGGAACGCCTGTTATTAGGACACTGGATTATTTAGAATGCTTAGGCACTAAAACGGGATGAGGAGAAAAGGGAATTATCTCTGCACGCAGTAGCGCATCTATTAAAGAGTCCGTTCCCCGCCTTGATTTAATGTATTATTTTGCAATTATTTATTGGTGTTATATGAATATGATTAAAATTAATAAGCTGTGTGACAATTTTGCTAAGTAAAATTTGATTTATTTCTAAAAAACAATTAATATTTCTCACTTAATTAATATTTTCTTTTCTCACGTTTCATGCGCCTAACCTCAAAATTGTTTTTCAACTGTCAAACTTTGGTTATGAATTTCAATCGAAGGCAAAAAACAAAACTTCTCACGTGCCTGTATGTTTATGCTTTTTCGTCAAGGTGACTTTTCCAGATTATTCGGACACACACCCGAGCTGTCCTAATAACCGGCGTTCCAGTGTATTCCCTTTTAAAATTAATTTTTTTTAACAACATTTTTGATAAAAAAATTCGTTTTTTTCACTAATATATTTTATGAAAAAATTGAATTTTTTTTACTAATATTTCCGTTTAAAAAAATAAGAGTTTTGTTTTTGATAAAAAAAAATACATTTCTAAGCGAAATCGCTCAAAATACGCTTGAACCAATCCGCCAGGGGCGCGTTCGTGAACGAGATAGAAAAGAATACAAATATATCTCTGTCCTTATATATACTTGCACAGTAAACCATTTTTGGTTACCGCACGAACTACTTATGCAGAGAGAATCTTCCTTCATTGCCCTCACTTTCGACGACATCCTCATCACCAGAGTTACTCCTGCCTGTCTCTAATCTTCTTGCTTCATGCATTAGGGTAGTGTATTAGGTTGTTCAAGTTGGGTGGGGGAAATCCAAAATGGCAATGAAGCGGTGCACAAACAAACATAAGAAATGTACGGGATGAAGTTGAATTTTTTTAATACATGTCTCGCTTAAATGAAATTTTGGAACCTAAGTGTATTAGAATTTCAGTTTCTATTTTTAATTACCTATTTAATACAATAATAAAAAACGATTTTATTTTTTTTAATAAATTTTATTATTGCATTAAATAGGTAATTAAAAATAGAAACTAAAATCCTAATACAATTACGTTCCAAAATTTCATTAGGCTGTGTCAGTTCATCGAGATAATTTGAGTTCAAGATATGACGTCATAGGCCTGGAGGGACAACCACTGAACTCTATAAGGCCTTTCTCCAATAGGATCCTAAACTCTTGCGTTGCGTATGCATTGCGTCGGTTGCTATTGGCAACCAATGCTAAAATCAACGCGTCAGTCACGCAACGCAAAAGTTTAGGTTCCTATTGGAGAAAGGCCTATATATCTGAAATGCTGTACAGGTCCATTGGAAAATATTTAACAGTATGTATACGTGAACATGACATAACACAGTTAACAGTAAACTTTTGGAACGTATTGTACTACGCCTGCGCAGTTTAGCAAGAGAAGGAGAGGGATACAAGAATCAGACCTCTCTCTCGGTTCGCGACCATCAATGTCAGACAGTATTCCATAGATATATAGAGTTCAGTGGGTATAACAAACAGACGACACAATGTTATTCTTATGGGGAAGAAAATTAGTTTCCACTTTCATCAATTTTATTCATACTTTAAACATGGAAAACATATAATAAAATGTTGACATATAATAAAATTAAAATGTGTGTTGATAATTAATTTTGTTATATATTTGATTCAATTGCATTTATAGATTCTCTGAATTCGTGATAAAATATAAATTTTGAGGTTAGGGGTGTTTGTTTACTAACTTGAAATCTTTTACTGCTGCGATAATTCCCACTTAAAATATATATTTTATTATTATATTTTATCGCCATTTTGGTTTTCCCCCCACCCAACTTGAACAACCTAATAGGTGCTTCCGTACGCTTCCGTATAAAAATCCTAATTCGAAACGGCCCTATAGTTCAGTGTGTAGAAGCGTTACACTTGTGCTCAGACCTTTAGATAGCTCATTTATTTGTTGTGTGGTGGGGACACAAGGCCACGACACGAATACATCTTGCACTTGACAGTCAACCTCGCCTATTTACAACATTTGTATACAGAGTTAGATAAACTTCATTCATTGTTGGTCACTATTTTGTAGTAAAAAAAAAAATATGGCTACCATGTTGTCTCGAACGATTTCATTAGCAGAGAGTATTACTCGATATAATGGAACCAAGGTTTGTCAAAATTTACGCAGTTTCACATTTCCTTTAACAAATTCTGTTTTTCATGTTCAATGATCAATTAATTTAAAATCAAACACTTTCAATTAACAGATTGATGAAGATTTATTGTTATTTTTATACATATTCTGTAGTCATCTAAATTAAGCACCAGGGTCAAGTGATTCGAAGCCAAGGATGCTTATACGAAACAATAGTATACTAATAGAATTTTCTGAAAAAGTAATTGTTTTCTTTCTCATTTACAATTGAAGTTTTCCTGAATGTTGTTTTGATCCTCTGAAATTTTTTGCACTGCTTTAGTGAACAGTGATTATAGAACAGTTAATTTAAGCAAGAAGCAAATTTAAAATACAAAAACCTACTTCTTATTCACTCCTATATAAATATAGGGTTTTTATTTTATTAATTTTTGACAACGAATGTACAAATATTTAAACATCAACAGATGATCGTGACGTTTAACAGCTGATATTCCTTTGTTATTACTCAGTCACTTATTTTTATCTTTTCAGTTATAAATATGAATTTCTCATTCATCTGATAACTTTAAACTGGCAGACAATAAGCATATTACATTTTTTTAATTTTTTTTTTTTGAGAATTACAGATTTTTATCAGACTGACTTGAAAATAGATGTGGCCATATTGATTTTTAAATAAAAAAATAAACATTTTTGATCTTTTCGCATTTTTGAAGCAAGAATATAGTATAGCTTAGGAAGTTGACCTTTCGACTTTATGTTTAGTATAACTTTAGTTTGCTTTGTTGACAACATGCGTATAAATATTAATACATATTACACTGTCTGATAAAAACGAACATTTTTTCTGACCGCGTATTAATTCTTATCTTTTGAGAAAGACCTTTTCACGCGGATTACGTAACTATCTACGTCAAGTTTTAGAAAGAATCAATGTCATAATGTTAAATAAGTGATAAGGTTTTGACCATGTTTGATTTAAAAATTTGAGAAACCAGATTTTCTTGAACAATGCATTTAGATTTAAAAAAAGGCTTGAATAAAAGTTACACAAAAAAATCAAAAAATTAATAGGAAGTAATTGAAATCATTTTTCATTATTCCACAACTTTTTTATTTATGTTTGTCAAACACCGCATATAATCTTACTATAAATTGTAAAACTACTTAACCCCTTGAGTGTGAGGGTACATGACACATACGTTATTTATGGTATTTTCGACGTAGAATCCGAATTTAAAGTGAAATTTTGAAATAGACTATTTTGAAGGATACTTTTATTACATTAAATCTCAGGCAGCATACATTATCTTATTAAACTAATATCTCACACAATTATATCAAAATGTTTTCGGGGCCACTGAATTCGAATCTGATGTTAGTTTTTCAACATTCAAAATGGCTGATCCATTATGAAGAGCTACTTATAAACCATCATTTGTTTTGATTGGAACGTAGCTGAAGTACGCAACGTTTATGATAAACGATTTTTTAAAAAAATAATTTTTTAAAATGAAAAATTCTATAATTTTTTGCCTAAAAAATATTTTTTTAGAATTTGTTGATTAATGAAAACTATAAGAAAAATTTTTTGGGCAAAAAATTATTTCTTTAAAAATCGTTTGTCATAATCGTTACATACTTCAGCTTTGATTGGACCGAGAAACAGTGTCTTTGTCATCTAAGCGCTCGTCTCTTATTCCTATATTTTACATCAATCCACTTTTCCATAAAATAGTTTCATAATTATATACTACACTTTTGTAAATTTTAAAAACTAATATATTTTTAAAATTCATTGAAAGCTATTTGTTTTGATTGAACAGAGAAACCAAATTTAGAAAATATGTCCGTAAATTTGGATCAGCCACTTGGAATTATGAAAAACTAATTTTAGACTCGTAATCAGCGACCTTAAAAATCCCCAAGTAATTTGTTTCAAGTAAAAAAGTTTGTTAACATTTTGGACCCACATTTAGGATTTTGCTCCTCACAGCGAAGGGGTTAATGGTAATTAAAACAATATAAAAAATAAATTAAAATGATTCTCCATAAAGTGGGCTTCTTCATGTCTTCTAGTTATATTTTATAAACATCTCAGAATGGAATTATCAATATGAAACGAAAGTATTATTTAAACGCCCCGTAATTATTACACCTTATAAAAGACTATAATTTTATACACAAATTTAGTAAAAATATTTTTGTAATATTTTTAGTATTTATCGATTAATTATTGGATAGATCAATAAAGTATTAAATATTTTAGGTTTGAAAATTTGAAAATATTAAATGTATTTGGTTTATAGTAATCATAAAAATTATTTAATTAAATTTTCGGCATTTTTTCAACAAATTTCATTGTTTTTGCTGCTAAGTTTTGCAATGTAATACAAATTTAAAAAAAAATACTAATTGATGTTCGCTTTATTCTATTTTTCTTATTTACATTGAAAAAAAATTGTTTGTAACAAGAATACATCAGAATAAAATTACATTACAAAACTTTTAATGAAATTAAAAACAAATTGTGATAAGATTCAGAAAATTGCGATAAAAGGAGATTTCTTATAACCATAACGCAAATAAATACACATATTTTGATTTTTCATTAATTTTTTAAGACTTAAAATGTGCAATACAATTTTTTAAAATCATAATTTGATCCAATTTTTAAAACTAAATATCACAAAAATTAAAAAATTAAACAAATCGTAGTTGCAACTTCCAAAGCCCATAAAAATAAAAATCGAGCTAACTTTTCGAAATCCTTTGTGGGGTTTAATTTGTCTATATATTAAGTTTAAATTAAGACTGACCGATTCGGGAAAGAAACGATGACCTAAAAGTTGTTGCACAGTGTAATTATTGAAATATAAAAGTCTTTAAAATTGTCCATGCGATCACGGTAAAGTATAAACAATTTATAAAAAGAACATTACGAAAGAACAAATTTAAAAAATTAAAACATTTGAAATAATATTTAAGGGGGTATGCGAGTTGAAATTATTCAAAAAAACTGATTTTGGGTTTTCATCATTTTCTGAAAGTAGACCATTTCGGAAGTATTTCCTAAAAATTTCAGACTGATTCGATCAATTTTGACAGAAATATGTGACTTTCAGCAAAGTAGAGTCGACCTCTAAGAATTTTTAAAATCGATCAATCGTTTTTTGAGTTATGATGGTAGCCAAATTTCAATGCAAGTTTAAAGTGCGCTTATAGAAGGAAAATATTTATATTTTTTAATATCATACTTTAAATTTTTTATTGTCCTAGATATACATAAAAACATGTTAAAAGATTACTTATTTTATTTTCAGGAAAAAATATATTTTTTGCAATTTAAAAATTAAATTTTTTTAAAAATGGTAGGTAGAAATAAATTTTTTTTAAATTTAAGAAAACGACTTTCTTTTACAAAAATTGTATGCCTGGTTCGGTCGTTTGCAAACGATTTTTTCAATACTTTCGGAATTTTGTATCGAAATTTTGAATTTTTTTAACCCTCTAATGCCGAGGGTGTTTAGAAGTTATCATAAAATTTTTTCAAGGCTTTAGTTTATCTAATTTATGCTTCGGATTTGGAGGAAAATTGTTGAAATTGAAAAAAACGGTAAATTCACTGTTTTTTGTTATTGGACTTCAAAATGCCATCAGGACTTTATATATTATATAAATCATTTAAAATAAAATCAAACATAAGTTACTGAACACAAATTTAATTTGAAATATTATCAATATAATATATATGTAATTATTTTACCATAAAAACTATTAACACTTATTTTCTTTTAAAAAATTATCGCATCATACTTGAACAATTCACTTAATCTTGAAATTTATTGACAATTATAATATTTTTAATGTTTAAACAATTGAATAACGATTTTCGATGGTACAGAAACACTCTTCTTTACCTACTAAAACCTACTGTAAGTATTAGATATTTGTTTCTCCAGTAAAATTGTTAAAAAAAATTGTTAAATCTATGGGACGCCCAAGTCCCACCCGTACCTAGTCCCTAGTAGAAATTTGTCATGGAAGCACTAGAAATACTCTAGTAACAGGCCAGTTTTTCTCGTGGACGCTGATTCTAGACAAACTAGACAATTACTGTAAAGTTACTTGACCAACAGTCTTAGAAAACATTCAAGTTGAACTTGAAATTGGCTAGATTCAACTTTTGTCCAGTTGCTTGAATGGCACTGTCTAGTGTCTCTAGAAATTATACTTTCGTCTTCTTTCGTGGCAGCAGCGCTGCAGTACATGTCTAATAACTAGACAAAAAAGTGCTAGAAATCTGTGTTCATGTAACTATTATATTATTTCATTATTTTCTTAAATAATAAAATTGTAATTAATTCAGGTAAATATAAATAAACATAATTTATTATTTTAATATAATAAATAAATAAAATCTATATTCACATGTTTTCTGAATATATTAGTATTTGAAGAGCTCCACGGAATAACGATCTTTGGCACAATTGAAAAGTTTGGTTATGAGCTTTCAAAAAACGTAAATTTTCATGAAATTTGTAATAAGTATGTATATGTAAATTGTTATTTATTACACTTTTGGTAACTATTATTAATTCTATTAGTTACAATAATTCGCTTACAGCTATTAATTTATAAAATTTTTATATTTTTTGAAAGCTCATAACCAAGCTTTTCAATTGTGCCATAGATCGTTATTCCGTGGAGCTCTTCATTTGAAGTTTTATAATATTTAGTATGTTTTTCTTTTTTATAAATTAAATTATTCTATTATCTATTATTGGCATTTTATTTATTGTTCCATTTATATATCATATATTTTTTTATTAAGAAAGTTTATTCTCAATTGATATTGAAAAAAATGTGTAATTTAGAAAACCTAACCTATAAATTCTATCTTTTGATATTAAAAAACAATAAAAATTACTGTTTTCGTTGAGTTTTTCACTTAGAAAACAATAAATAATAATTTTAATAGTAATTATTTTTAAAAAATGTCAAAATGCA